GCCAAGAAGGTGCAAATAATTTTTCAATTATGTAAAGTTAGAATTTGATGGACACATTTCATGATTGATGTTTCTGCTTGAACACAGTCTTCCTTGCCACCTCCTCTTCTGTGCTTGCATGAACATGAAGATCTTAAGGCAAATTAGATGGAAGCCTGATTCTGACCTGCCAACGAAATTCCATGCAATTAAGCACATTGCTACATAAAGCAACGACATACTATTAAAGTCCAGTTCATGCGCCAGCTGATCAAGTGCTCTTAGCAGCTTATGAGTATTGCTGGTGTTCAAATCACCCTTGTTTACATTTGTAGGAATCACATGAATTTCAGCAGATCCTGGGTTGGATTCCCTTCACACTTACGCACAATTACTCCTGTTTAACCCAATTTAGCTGCTTGAAGCGGAGGCCAAAGGTCAGCCAGATGTCTTTTGTTGGAGCTGATACATCAAGCGGGTGGAAAGTATATTAGGACCTTGGAGATAAAAAAGGTCCAAACTACACAAAATATTGGCGTTCCAAGATTGAAATGCCAGATGTGTTGACCCTAAAATGTAACAGGGGTCCCCGATATGGATTTGGGCTGCAACACTGGAAAAGGGAGGAACTTAATTCTTTCCCCATCCTCACCCTCTGATATTTCCTCAATCCAAAACATTGATTATGCCCCAAAGGCAAAAAATATCTGTATGCCCTTTACAGATGTGAATAAAAGGCCAAGAAGGTGCAAATAATTTTTCAATTATGTAAAGTTAGAATTTGATGGACACATTTCATGATTGATGTTTCTGCTTGAACACAGTCTTCCTTGCCACCTCCTCTTCTGTGCTTGCATGAACATGAAGATCTTAAGGCAAATTAGATGGAAGCCTGATTCTGACCTGCCAACGAAATTCCATGCAATTAAGCACATTGCTACATAAAGCAACGACATACTATTAAAGTCCAGTTCATGCGCCAGCTGATCAAGTGCTCTTAGCAGCTTATGAGTATTGCTGGTGTTCAAATCACCCTTGTTTACATTTGTAGGAATCACATGAATTTCAGCAGATCCTGGGTTGGATTCCCTTCACACTTACGCACAATTACTCCTGTTTAACCCAATTTAGCTGCTTGAAGCGGAGGCCAAAGGTCAGCCAGATGTCTTTTGTTGGAGCTGATACATCAAGCGGGTGGAAAGTATATTAGGACCTTGGAGATAAAAAAGGTCCAAACTACACAAAATATTGGCGTTCCAAGATTGGAATGCCAGATGTGTTGACCCTAAAATGTAACAGGGGTCCCCGATATGGATTTGGGCTGCAACCCTGGAAAAGGGAGGAACTTAATTCTTTTCCCATCCTCACCCTCTGATATTTCCTCAATCCAAAACATTGATTATGCCCCAAAGGCAAAAAATATCTGTATTCTGCTTGCCTTCATTTCTATATCAGGGCGCGGGGGACCATATTGAAATGGGGAAACAGCAAGGGAGAAAGAGTTAACCCTCCTTCCCCATCACTCTGCCTGTGGTCCATATTGCCTCCCCCCCACCTGCAGCTTTTTAGGGCTGAATCACAGACTTGGGAGTTTTAAATCTCAGAACTCTCACATCACTTGTTTGGTCCTGAAGCTTGCTTCTTATGGTGGTGGTGGTGGTGGGAAGGGCCCTCAAGTCCCAGCTGACTTACAGGGATGCTGTAGGGTTTTCAAGGCAAGAGGCGTTCAGAAGTTTTTTGCCACTGCCCGCCTCTGCATTGCAACCCTGGACTTCCTTGATGGTCTCCCACTGAGGTACTACCCAGGACCGATCCTGCTTAGCTTCTGAGATCTGACAAGGCCAGGCTAGCCAGAACCATCCAGGTCTGGGAGTTTCTTATGTTCCTAGGCCAGTGATCCCCAACGTGTGCCCTTGGGGGCCATGGCAACCGTCAACACCTTTCCTGGCACCCGCCAAGTGTTTTTAGAAAGTGGGCAGGGCCAAGCGGGGCTTTTGTTGATTGGCCACTGGAGATTTGTTTGGCTGTGCAGATTTGTAAAAACATCGCTTTGGCAGCAACTGTTACCCAGCACAAGAATCTTCACTGTGTGACTGAAGGGAAGCTGCTGCAGCCATTTCATGACTGTGCCCAACAGACTGTGTCAGGATTCCAAACGCCTGCAGGCTGAAAAAGGTTGGGGGACCCTGTCCAGCCTATAAGGGGCCTTACAGGCCGTCTTTTCCAGCTTCTTGTTCAATGCAGGAAATCCAAACCTAGATTGATGGTTGCTCAAGTTCTGCTTTTTAAACCTTCAGCAAGGGAGAGTCCTCTCCCAGGTAATTGATTCTGTTGTCAGACTGCTCTTTCCACTAGGAAGTTTCTCCTGTCGGTCTAGCTCATTAGATCTAATGTCTCCAGGTTGAACACGCCCAGTTCATTTTCCTCATAGGACTTGTTTCCCATACCTCAAGTCATCATTTTTGTCTTCCTCTGAACCCATTCCAGTTTGTCTGCATCGTTCCCAGAACTAGAATCCGGACACAGTCCTTCAGGTGAGGTGTGACTAGCCCAAAAGTAGAGTGTAAAGCTTGCTTCTCATGACCTGGATGCTATGGAGGAGGAGGAAGAGGAGGAGTTGAATTTATACCCAGCCCTTCACTCGGAGTCTCAGGGTGGCTTACAATCACCTTCCCTTTCTCTCCTCACAACAGACAGGTGGGGCTGAGTGAGCTCTGAGAGAACTGCTCTTGAGAGAACAATGACTGACCCAAGGTCACCCAGCTGGCTGCATGTGAAGGAGTGGGGAATCAAACCCAGTTTTCCAGATTAGAGTCCACCGCTCTTAACCACTACACCGAACAGGCTCTCAACATAGCCTAAAATCACATTAGCCTTTTTGGCAGTCGTGTCACACTGCTGGCTCATGCTCAGATTGTGACTGACCACGACCTGTTTCACACATACTACTGCCAAGCCAGGTCTTCTCCATCCTATATTTGTACATTTTATTCTTTTTTGAATAAATACAGATTTCTGTACCGACACTGATAGACAGATTCAGGCGGACAGCCATGTTGATCTGAAGCAGCAGAGCAAAGTTTGAGCCCAGTGGCACCTTTAAGACCAACAGAGCCCCCGGTCACACGGGAGGATTTGATCTGCAAAAGGGACGGATCAGGGGCACATCAAGTGGGCGCGATCACACCACAACATCTGGGAAGTGGCGCGCACCTGTCCCTGATCCGTCTCTTCCGGCCGAAGATGCGGAGTTAAAATAAACCTGCAAAGCAATAGTACCTACCGGAAAATCCGTGGCACGGGCGGCTGTGTGATCGCCGATGCGCCCGTCTCCCGCAGATTGCAAGGCCCCCTGCCGAACTGCACAGGCGCACACATGCGCAGCTGACTCGCCTCGCTCTCCTGTCCGTGGCTTCCCCCTCGCATCTGATCACGCTGGGGAGTATATGCGTGGCGGCTCGGGGATCTGTCTGACATCTGATCCCGCTGCCACACTTCTCTTTTGCTGCGGCTCTAAAAAGCCGCACTTCTGCCCCTGCTTTTCCTGCGGTGTGACCGGGGCCAGAGTTAGCTTTTGTGTGCATGCACACTCAAGCTTATACCCAAAATAAAAATTTGTTGGTGTTAAAGGTGCCACTGGACTCAAACTTTGTTCTGATAAATAATTTGCTGATACCTAATTGTAAAAAGATGTTGTTGTGAGTTCTTTATTAGAAAATGGCAAACACGAGATCTCACAAAAGTTATACACACATACACACACATGGGAGCGCTCAGAACTACTGTTTTAGTGCAGAGGCATAAATTGGTGCATGGTTCCCTACTGTTCACCTCTATCGCTTCCCTTTCTGTAAAGCATCAAAGACTCGTAGTCCCATGAAACTCTTTTCATAACACTCCCTTCGCAGCTGGTTAGCCTAGCATCCTACCTACGCTTCCAATATAGCTTAATCTGAGTATTTCATTTTCTCTTTAAAAAAAGCCATATTTGGTTCTGTCCTGAGCCACTGTTAGCTCTGGGGCCACAGAGTGCATACCCTTCCCTGAATAATTTCCACCAGGGTAGGTGTTGGGGAAGCAGTGTTTTTGTTTGGTGAAGCAGAACTTTGTATATCCAAAGGAAGTAGTTGGGAAGCTAATCTGCTGCCAACCTGAGACTGTATAGTGTAAAACTTTCTGCGAAATTTAGGAACCACAGAGATTTTGGGCATAAGATTTTTTAGGGGTGCCAGGTTGGTCATTCACCCTTTAAAATTAAAAAAACTTGGGGGGGGGTTTGCAGTGTTGATTGAAAAAGTCATAAGGTTTTTCTTGTTGACTGTTGCGTTTATGACTTTGGAAGCAGCCTCTTCAGTCATGGGCTTCCGTCTATCACATTTGTATCTTGCATTTCTACCAAGGATCACACCAAGAGCATGGTTCCCTCCCCCCTCCACTGCATACTTGCAATAACTCTGACAGGCAGGTCTGGTTGAGAGACAGGTAGGCCCAAGACGACTCTCTGCACCTGATGGCTGAGTTTCGTAGGTCTGCTCACTCTGGCCAGTACTCCAGAGTGCCTTGTGATTTAAAGTCAGTCCAAAGGCTCCCAAGCGTGGATAGGAAGGGCTGCAGCTCCAATTCACAGTATTGACTGAGAGCGCGGAACCAGGGAGGTAGTTACTCGAGTCCGGAATAATTCTTTCTCTCTCGCAGAGTACCCGCGGTCCCCCTTCCTCCCCTTTATATGCCAGACTGGTTATTATGAATAAACTGGCAGTCTGATTTCACCGAACCTCCCATATCATCCACCGTTTCCTTTTATAGCTGGGGACTTGGAACTCTCCCTCATCCCTTGACCTCGTGGGCGCTTCTCCCCACCCGCCCAGCCTCCCCCGAGCCAGGCGAGGGGACTGGAGCGCCCGACGGGAGGGGAGGGGAGGGGAGGGGGGGTCCCTCGCGCGGCCCCACCCATCCTGTCCTTTCCAGACCCCGGAGGTGGGCGGGGTTTGAAGCAGCTCAGGCGACCCGCTCCCCATGGGGCAGACCCACTCGCTCCAGCCTCGCAGGGGAGGGCTCTGCCCCTTCCCCACCCGGCCCCGCTTAAATGCGACGGCCGCTGCTCGTGGCCCTCTCAGTCCGGAGCAGCTGCTAGAGCGCGATCGCCGCCGGGCGCTGCAGCCTCCCCGCCGCCCCCTGCCAGGCTACCCGCTTTACCTGAACCAGCACGACGGGGGAGTCGCCTGCCCCCCTTCCGCATCGCTTCGTGGCCGCCTCTCCGCGCCTTCCAGCCGGCCGAGGTGAGTGAGGGGCTCCAGGGCACCTGCGGGGGACGAGCGCAGCCTTGAGCGCGGGACGGAAGGGCGCAAACGCCTCGTGTGTGTGTGTGTGTGGGGAATCCCTCCCTGCCCGCCTCCCGGAGAAGACACGGGGCACCCCTGGGGCAAAAGGGCGG